CAAATATAGGACTGAACCGCCATCCAGTGCTTTCTGCATTGTGTTGAGGATTCTTCTAGACTCGATGAATTACTATATATATATATATATATATATATATATATATATATATATATATATATATATATATATATATATATAGTAACTTATATTTCAAGAAGTTATTTTGTTAAACATCTTTGGGTAGATTAAAACTCAATTTTGTAAATACTGTTAAATGCTTATCTTCTTTTTGTCCATCGGATGCAATATTCACTTTTTAATAAACAGACTGGTTTGCTTAAACTTGATAATTAATGCAACAGTTTGTTTACATGTTCAAAAAAATAAATTAGCGATATTTATACACCGACTTGAATTCTTGTCACGATTTTGTAAGATCCCCGAGATTTACTTGACACCTCCCCATCACCACCACCACTGAGCCAAGTTGTGACACAAGATCGGTTTAGCTTCTCCAAACTGGTCTTAGCTGGTCATAGCTTGTGTAAACTAGTCATAGCCGGTCATAGCTTGTCTAAACTAGTCATAGTCGGTCATACGACCGCTACGCAACATATCATGCAATAGTGGGGGGGGGAGACGCAAGAGAGGAGAGAAGGCCTCTGGCACGAAACAGATACTACACCTGCAGCATCCGTTCCGACGGGAAAAACCCACTTCTCTGCTAATCCTCTCGGAAGAATTCGGGAAGAAAGCCTCGATTTTGTAAGATTCCCATACGAAAATTTTTTCACCACTAACATATTAAATGTACACTATTTATTTTGTAACCGATACACGTAATTTAAATAACTGTCAATAAAATTCTAACAACAAAATTTTTTAGTGAAATGTATTGTTGTCTTATTTTTGGGGTTGTCGTTTGAAGAAAAAAGACAAACATGAGAATGAATAAAATGTGATACACATTTTATTCATTCTCATGTTGGCCTGTGTCATATTTTTATTCTGGAACTTTTCGCATAGAAAATGTTGAAGGATAGTTAAAGTGTAAATTCAAGGAATGTTTTATGATAGTTCTTGCAAAATATGAAGAAATTGTTGAAGTTACACTGTTGGTTAATTAAAAAGTGAGTGAGGTGTCTTGTCTAAGACATGCGTGTCTTTTCTCGGAGCGCTAAGTTCGCGCTCAGCATGTTCCCAGTTTTTATACGAATGCCTTAAATATGAAAAAGGATCGCTGCGGCTGATTGAGTTTTCAACGAATGCGCGTCTGGTGGAGCCATGTGTGGCGCTTTGCAATAATATTCATTATCATACACCTAAAATAATATCGATATTGATTCTGTTGAATTGGCAAGACATCTCCCGAATAACACATACAGTTTTAGAAGGGAATACACAAAATAATTGTGATCCTTTATAATTCAGGGTACATAGAAAATTGCCCACAGATTTAACAATCAAATTCTTCCTACATTTACGCATTAAGGATGTCAAAAAAATTCTCAAGTAGTCGAGATTTCTGCTTTAATATAATAAATTGCTCCTCACTTAAGTCTGTCGTGATGGCCAAATATCTATGTTAGACGATCCCTACAAATATTAAAATGAAGAAGTGACACAGGCCAAAGCAAGGATAACTATAACGAGGCGTTTAGTTAAAAATATGCCAAAATTTATTATTGGCAAAAAATACCATGCAACCGGAAATAACAAAATCATGAGCAGGAAAAAACAGTATCGGTTTTGGCCAGCCATCGCAAACCATCTCAAAAAGATGTACAGAATTAATAAACTAGAACTGCTCAATATCAAAGTGAAAGAGTCCGCCCACTGAAACAGAACAACATGTTGATACGATAAGACCCTCCTCCGAGATAACTGACAATATCAATTAATACTAAATATGCGACAAACAGTTTTTAGGAAACGTGACTCTCCTCCTGGAACGGATCTCTTTCTTCTCCAAGAAAGTCGATTTAACACGAACAACAAAGACACTTATCAGTACGGTCACCCCGCTTTATTGTGAGATGCTTATCAGAGCGATCACTCACTTGGAAGGGTCCTAAATACGTGGGTGTGAGCGGATGCTTGACGGCATTATTTCTCATGAAAACAAATGTGCAGTACTGTTGCTGATTTGGGACATAAATGTTCGTTGGTCTGTGTCGCGGAGGATTATATGACAGCTTAGCCATTTTCTGGCGTAGCTCCTGAACGAAAGAAGTTGTTAAGGTTGGGACTATGGTTGGGGAAAAATATTTCCGAGGCAGAGGAAGAGATGTACCGAAAACAAATTCGGTTGCTGAACAATCCAAATCTTCTTTTAGTGTGTTCCTCAATGAAAGAAGAATCAGAGGAAGATAGTCGACCCAATCAGTTGTATCGTGCCTGGTAATCAGGACAGTCTTTAGAGATCGGCGAAATCTCTCTACAAGCCCGTTCGCGCATGGATGGTAAGCCGCTGTGCGAATGTGTCGTACTCCAAGTAGGTGGGTAAATTCCCTAGAGAGAGATGATTGAAATTGTGACCCCCTCGGTATGTCGTGATCATCTGTGGTGTACCGAAGATCGCAATTCATTCACAAAGAGCTATTTAGTAGACTGTGTTGTCTGAAGTGTCCTTAATCGGAATAGCTGTAGGCCAACGAGAGAAACGGTCCACTATTGTCAGAAGATACTAATACCTCTGACATTTAGGCAACGGCCCAACTATGTCGAGGTAAATGTGAGATAACCGAGTGTCGGGTTTGCTGAAGGTACCATTTGGAGATTTAGTGCCCCGGTATATTTTGCATTTTTGGCACTCTAGACACACAGAAACAGTCACACAAAACGGTTCGTGACAAGCTTGACAGTGGTCCGCTTGCTAGATGCAGGTGTCTAAACACCAGTTTCTTGGGGGCCAGAGGAACGTATGGTCTAGGAAAACTCAACTTGACATCGCAGTATAACGTCTTGTCACTGAAAGGGAATGGAAACTCCTGATGCTCCAGGGAAGTGTCTGCCAGTAAGTCTTGTAGAGTTGAATCGGATTTCTGCTATCAAATCCTGGCTCAGAGTATCAACGTCAAGGCCATTCCACGAAAGTTGATCGGCGATTTTTCTTTCAACATAGCGTATGTCAGTAGTGAACTGAAAGAATAATCAAAATGTCAGATCCTGCGAGAAGTATATTTGGCGGAGTTGCTGTTCATAACCAACGTTAAGGGTTTATGATCGGTAAAAATCGTGAAAATCCGACCTTCCAACAAGTGCCGAAAATACTTGACGGCCAAATAAATTACTAAAAACTCTCGAGAGAAGGTACTGTAACGTGACTGGGCTGGAGAAAGTTTCGTAAGAACTTAAGAGGTTTGCGTTGAGAATTTAACTCTTACTCAACCACTGATCCAATCTCTGAGTCAAACGCATCCGTTGTCAGGCAGATTCGAGTATGTGTCTCATCTTCAATAAACGACAACTTGGTGAAATTCGCCAGTGCGGTTTTAGCTGCGTGAAATGCGTGCAGAGCATTCGCTCTCCAAGGAAATACTCTTATTCCTTCTCTGCAGGAAGTTTTTTCAGTGGATTCAGAATCGAAGAACAGTAAGGAATGAACCGTAGATAGAAGTTGACTATTCCTATAAAACATCTCCGGTGCTTGATATACATTGGTACTGGGAAGTCTTGAATATATGTAATCTCTTCTGGTAGCAGGGCGATTCTATCAGCATCAGTGTGGTGTCCAAGGAAGTTAATTTGATTACAACCGAATTCACACTTATCCAGGTTCAATCGGAAACCGTAGTGTGATAGGTGCCGTAGGACTTCGTGTAGGTGTCATTTATGTGAGGTAACGTCCCCACTGGGTATTAAGATGTCATTAATATATGCAAACACAAAACGTAAACCACGCAATACTTTATCTATCAGCCTCTGAAATGTTTGGGTCGCATGACGCAAACCGAATGGCATCTTCACAAATTCAAACAAGTCAAAAGGTGTTGTGACTGCAGTTTTCGGGATATCCTTCGGTGCAACAGGAATCTGATGGTAAGCCTTAGTCAGGTCAGTTTTAGAAAAAAAACAATTGCGCCCTGTAAACCTGACACGAAATCGTGAATATGCGGGATGGTGTAGCGATCAGGAATGGTTGACGATTTGATTTTTCTGTAGTCCACGCAAATCCGACAGTATGTGCCATCAGGTTTAGGCATTATGTGTAGCGGTGAGGCGTATAGACTATTTGAAGGGCGGATAATGCCATCACGCAACATTTCCTCCAACGCTTTGTTGGCAAACTGCAACTTGTGTGGCAGCAGTCGTCGAGGGCGGGAATACGCTGGCTGTCCAGACGCCTTAAGGTGGTGGTGTGTTTGGTGTCTGCCTGAATCAGTACCATTAATTTGATAAAGTAAGTCCGTTAACTGATTCAGGATCTCTAAGTATTCTCGAATATTGCTGGTTGCCACGCTGATCCCTGTTGTGTTGTGGCAAGGCAACTTGTGTGTACATGAACTTCAAAATCTGCGTCAGCATGGGTGTTTTCACGTACGCTATGGTGATATTCAAGGTGAGGTATTTGCTGCCATACCTGTATATGGCGGAGCCATTAGCTGATTGAAGTTTAAAAGCGGCAGGGTTAGCGGAGGGCTCATTGGTGAAAGGTATCACACTTATCGCTGTACCATTATCAACAAGAAATTTCAGCTTATTATTATGGTCCCAAACATAGAATAGGTGACAACGTTTATCCTTACCAGCAATGTCTTGCACATACTTGCTGATTGGTTCGCCGAAGGTATGGTGGAATATGTCCGAGTTGATCTGCAGTGCCTGACTGGAGTTGTGTTGTCGCCCCTGATTGTTCCATTTAAAGGGATATTAACTTCTAGAGATGTAGAGAAAACTGTAAATCTTTTACCTGCTTCTGTAGATCTGCTACTACCGTCTCTAAGAGTCTGGAGCTATCCCGCGTTTCATCGGGTGCATAAAGTGGGTTTTCACCGTGGTCGATTTTTGCGAAAATATTGTCGACAGAATTGACCAACTGATCCAACGGTGTGTTTTCAGACACCGGAGCGAGAATCTGTGTAACTGTCGAAGATAAACAGTCTAATCACAGGCCTCGGAGGCTTGATTCCGCTATGCTTGCAGAGACGACTCTTCATGAAGTGTAAGAGCTTAGATGGAGTCTCATTATCTCTAGTGAAGTTATTAAAGAGTTGCCGTATCAGGTCTTTGTCTGAGCGATCGGTATGTTTAAGAATTGTCTCTTTAAGGCGAGAATATGGTTCGTGGTCGTGGTCTACGTCGTCGACGATGGAGAGATATAATGCCTGTACTAAATTGGAAAATTTTGACATCTTGGAGGTAATATTTCGCACAAAGAAGATCGCCTCAAGATGCAAAAAACAAGTCTTGATATTGTTTTCATTGAATGGCGGTAAATAGGTTAGTGGATCTGCCATACTGATTGATGCCTCCTTCATTTCATTAATTGCTATCCTACCTGACCGTGTCAGTATCACATTAGGGTTACATATGTCTCTGCTAAACATTCCACACAAACGTTAAAAAGTGACACAGGCCAATGCAAGGATAAATATAACGAGGAATTTTGTTAAAAATATGCCAAAATTTAATATTGGCAAAAACAAAAATACATTGAAAGGAACAATAGATACAGATATTCGAAATTCCCAGGGTACTCGTGCAGGGAGATAGCTTTTGGTTTTAGATGATGACGAATGGAGTATCTTGGGTAGTGCAGAAGGTTGATGGATAGTTGGTGTATTGAGTTGGTATAGGTTGGCGGTCGTATCCCATGATAGACGGTAGTTGGTAATCCGAAGATGAAACCGAAGCTACTTGGGTAGAGCTCGACAGGCAGTGTTAAGTGGATATTAACTGGCAGTCTTATCCCAGAGTAGGCGGCTGAAAACACGGTGATTCGCTAGATGATGTAGCTGTACAATTGATTTTGGAGAATTTACAAAGTCTCAGCGTTGAAAATTCCGTTGAAAATATTAGACGAGCCTCGAAGTCATTGACAAATTGACCGGGATTAGAACCATATCTACCAATTCGTAGAAGAAAATGCTCAATTAGCACATCAATTAAACTGCATTAATCCAAGATTCTATGGTATTTGTTTACCATCAACAAAGTTCTTAAACTTAGAAATTAGGAGTCACATTAAGTGATAGACGAAAATCAAATACCTCATTTGAATTTATACATGACTCGATACCAAGAGATAAGATACATAAAGAAAAGTAATCTCTGTGTTAGGAAAATAGAACATATGAAACTTTGTTCAGCTTTAAGCATGCCAAGACGGAGATTTGGAAAGTTGACAGAGTGATCTTCTTAAGGAGGTTAAACTAAGAAGTAATTGCCTGAAAAAAGGGATGACTCCTTTTGATCATGACTACAGAATGTATATCAATGAAGCTAAGTGGTAGCAAGAGAAAAGTTTTGCTTTGTTATTGAAAAGATGAGTGGGCCATCGTTTTACTTAGAACTGCCCGATTCGAACAGAGCGTAAACTGAAAAAGCAATGCATATTGCTGCAAACGGCAACTGAGAAAATCGACAAAAATGCATTTCTTACTGAGCGAAATATTTTCGCCGAAGCCCTGCAATATGTATATCGCACCTGTCGCATGGTAGGTTCTACATAACGTCATATGCATTGCATTAAGAAATATATTTCAAATTGTAAGGCCACTGTTTATATTTAATCCAACTTTGTTGTACTATTGTTCAAATATCACATTCTTAAAGTACAAGCATTAAACAAGTATTGATGTCAATGCTAATTCTATGTCTTCCGTTGTTATCTATCTATACACAGTTTTAATCGGCTATCGAATTGAATCTGTTTTATTGACCTCAGTTTTATATCTTGATTTTACGATGATTTTAACCAAAGCTTTTCTTCAATATCTGATCATAAAGTGAGTCTCTAATCAAAACATTTGTGAGATGGACAAACATTTGTGTGAAGTGACTAATTTCTGTTCGTTAGAACAACAGATTGTTGCTTCCAGAGAAAACTATCAAAACACACAGGGACATTCCCACAATTATCTTCACTGCTGTTTTTTTAGGCTAGTCCTAATCGAAATTTACAAGCGATGCATTTTAAACGGGCGGTTCTTCTAGTGCATTCATGCTGTTTTGAATTTTCCCGATGGCACAATGAAAATAATGTTTTTTTTCTCTCTAAATCATCAAGAACAATGAACATTTCCGAGTTAATTAATAAGATCAATTTTAAAATTCCAGAATGAAAAATAAATCAGACACAAATAATTTTGAATCAATCGAGAATGTAGAATTTTATCTGATTTGTGCATCTTCAAATGCTTTAAAACTTGCAAAATTCGTAAAAAATACGAAATATGAAAGATAACAATAAAGAACTTGAAAAAGTAACGAAGAATATGTGCATGCAAACAAGCACACACACACGTAAACACGCACACACAAAAATATATATATATATATATATATATATATATATATATATATATATATATGATATTTTATTTTCGGTAGCTGAGTATTATAGTCAAATGAAATTCGGAATATCAGAAAAGCATAAGGAAATAAACGAAAACTCGAATAAATTTGCACATAACTACACAGATTTAAAATTTAGACATATTTACAGATATATAAAATCCCACGTATATATAAATATGTACACGTATAGATGCATGTGTCAAAATTCACACACACACACACACACACACACACACACACACACACACATATATATATATATATATATATATATATATAAATTCGCAAGTAAGAAATAAAATGGCATTTATTCACCAAACTACCAACTATATGTTCACCAGTTTCAGTAACAGCTGCATTTATTTTATACTTTTAATTATATCTTTCTATCTATCTGTTAAATAACAGTTTGAGACTATTATTTTTTAATGGGCAATGTATTTGGCTCAGACGTTCTGAGGTTGACCCTAAGGCCAGATGGTAGACAAAATAAGAATGTTGATTTTGATTGGCTGACCCGGACGTGGGAATGTTACAGAGATAGAAGGTGTTTTCAAGGAGTTAAGTTTTACACGTCATATACATTAGACGTATTTATTTCGTGTCTCGGGGAACTTTGTCCCTAGTAGGGTGATAGAAGATGTAAAAGTTGACGTGTTTAATAAAATAGATAAGTTTTCAAAACCTCTTTATGATGTCTCACTTTTTATTCCGAATCAAAAACATTTCGACACCCGACCGGGAGAAGAAAGAAAAAAGAGAGAAAAAGAGGGGAAGACAATTTTCTTATGATCGCTTGAACGTTGAACTCTCTGCCTTCGGGTGGGGAGGAACCCGAACGAGGCTACGCCGAGGGGCGGAGTCGCTTTCGGGGAGGTAAACCGGTCCTGAGCCCGTTTATACGCGTTCTATGGGCATATTTTTCGGCTCAGCCCACGGGCTCGGAGAACCCACAATAAATAACCGACCTTGTGTCACATGCTGCCCTTGTGGGGGTGAGTGAATATCGTCAGTCGCTCAAGTCTTGAATAACAGATCAGTTGAACTCTCTGGCTTCGGGTGGGAAGGAACCCGAACGAGGCTACGCCGAGGGGCGGAGTCTCGTTCGGGGAGGTAAACCGGCCCTGAGCCCGTTTATACCGGTTTCAATAGGCATATTTTTGGGCCGAGCCCACGATCACGGAGAACCCACAATAAATAACCGACCTTGTGTGACATGCTGCCTCAGTTGGGTGGGGGTGATTGAATATCACCAGTCGTTCAGTTCTGAACAGACTGTTCGGTTGAACACACTGCCTTCGGGCGGAGAGGAATCCGAACGAGGCTACGCCGAGGGGCGGAGTCGCTTTCGAGGAGGTAAACCGGCCCTGAGTCCGTTTATACGCGTTCTATGGGCATATTTTGCAGCTCAGCCCACGGGCTCGGAGAACCCACAATAAATAACCGACCTTGTGTCACATGCTGCCCCTGTGGGGGAGGATTGAATATCGTCAGTCACTCAAGTCTTGAACAACAGATCAGTTGAACTCTGTGCCTTCGGGTGGGGAGGAACCCGAACGATGCTACGCCGAGGGGCGGTGTCTCGTTCGGGGAGGTAAACCGGCCATGAGCCCGTTTATACCGGTTTCAATGGGCATATTTTTGGGCCGAGCCCACGATCACGGAGAACCCCAACAAATAACCGACCTTGTGTGACATGCTGCCTCAGTGGGGGGGGGGGTGATTGAATATCGTCAGTCGTTCACTTCTGAACAGACTGTTCGGTTGAACACTCTGCCTTCGGGCGGAGAGGAATCCGAACGAGGCTACGCCGAGGGGCGGAGTCGCTTTCGGGGAGGTAAACCGGCCCTGAGCCCGTTTATACGGCTTTCAATGGGTATATTTTTCGGCTCAGCCCACGGGCTCGGAGAACCCACAATAAATAACCGACCTTGTGTCACATGCTGCCCTAGTGGGTGGGTGACTGAATATCGTCAGTCGCTCAAGTTTTGAACAACAGATCAGTTGAACTCTCTGCCTTCGTGTGGGTAGGAACCCGAACGAGGCTACGCCGAGGGGCGTTGTCTCGTTCGGGGAGGTAAGCCGGCCCTGAGCCCGTTTATACGGGTTTCAATGGGTATATTTTGGGGCCGAGCCCACGGTCACGGAGAAACCACAATAAATAACCGACCTTTGTCACATGATGCCACAGTTGGGGGGGTGATTGAATATCGTCAGTCGTTCACTTCTGAACAGACTGTTCGGTTGAACACTCTGCCTTCGGGCGGATAGGAGTCCGAACGAGGCTACGCCGAGGGGCGAAGTCTCGTTCGGAGAGGTAAACCGACCCTGAACCCGTTTATACTGGTTCAATGGGCATATTTTTTTGCCGAGTGTCCACGGACTCGGAGATCACATGTTAAAAAGGCCTTGTGCCACATGACGCCCTCGTGGGGTGGTGGTGACTGAATATCGTCAGTAGTTCGAGTCAAGAATCGAGTGAGAAGCAGTCCGAAACAGAGTCGCGTTCAGACAATTACTGCAAGACACTGGAATAGTGATACTGGTCGAGACTACATTTCTCTCTACTAAACCTGATTGTTCATACTAACACTTCTACTTCTCTGTATATATTCCTGCTTGTAATATATCTGTGTTATTCCATACCTGTGTTCGAGTTCTTTATTGGTTCTACCTTGGACTATCACCGTGGTACAAGGAACCGGACCATAACACACACACACACACACACACACACACACACACACATATATATATATATATATATATATATGCATATACCCAATGAATCATAGGACATAAAAATATAGCTAGCATGTGTAATAAGAAAATAAATTGAAATAGTTTTTTTTTTCTCTTGGTTCTTTAACAATAAAACTGCGTCAATTATAAATGCATCTTTATAGAGAATATAGAAATTTAGCACAAAACTCGTGAACACAATTTTTCAAAGATTTCACAATTATCAAACTTTTTCATAAGACTTTAAAAAGTTTCATGGCGTTATTTCTGTTCCTCATCGTCTAATAACATTCTTTAATCTAAAAATCTAAACCGTATCCATTTTTTTCCTTCGTACTTTCATCTGTCTGTATATATGTAGCATTATTAAACCGTATTACTTCAAATAATCACTAGTAAATGTTAACAGTGTCTTTTTCTATTGCGTTCAGCTACTGTAGTTGAGATTCCAATCTCTCTAGAAATCACTCATAATCGCTACCTATTGCAACTTCCTGAAAATTACACCATGGTAGTTGGTCTATGAATAAACAGGAGATAAAATAGAATGTGTACATTTGTGTGCATGTAAATCTCATAATTTTCTTTCTTCATTTTAGAAAAACACAAACAGACTTTTTTCATAAGAACTGTTTTGGATGATTTTATATCCATACAACTTCAGGAATAACGTAGGATAATAAAGTAACCGAAACAATAAGTAAATGAATAGAACGGCTACATTTTTTCTCTTAAATCTCGACAGACCAATTCTAGAACGTTAACATTACGCAAAACATCCTTACGTTTTAATCTCTTTATCTGTTATATATGTTCTTAGTTCTGTTTTTAAAATAATTTTCCTATCCCTTATTGCTTTTTCCTGATAACTTTTGTTAAAATGTCTATTTCAGTAACGGCCTATATTGCCCTGAACTTAGAAATTTTAGTAAGAACCTTGCAAAAATGCAATCTTCTCGCGGGATTTCTATCCTGCAGCAGTTTTCATGGCATCGACGCCGTGGCCTTAGAAATTATTGATAACAGGCAAATATAATTTGGTGGATATTCTCCGATGTGAGAATACAGACGCAACGTTAAAAGAATCCGAGAAACTAAAATGAAAAAAAAGAAGGCATGTTAGGTTTGTGCCTACAGCGCTATGCATAAGAGCAGGATATTGCTTTCTGCATCAATAGGTCTTAGTTAGGAGCTGGCGATGACTAATTCACATCCAGTCTTACTATTCAAAAAGGGAAATTTTCTATTTGCCGTTATTTTCTAGTCTTAGATAATGGTTTCTTCTTTTTTGTATTTTTTGGAAGAGGATAGAAACAAAGAATACTAAAGAGTTATATAAGGACAAAAGAACAAAGAAAGATAGAATAAAATGCGGACGAGTGAAAAATAAGAGAAGGTGGAAAGAAATAATAAAAGAAGGCAGGAAAGAAAGAGAGAAAACAGAAAGATCAGGATTGATAATGAAGAATTAAAATGAAGAAAAAGAAAGAAAGAAAATAAAAGAAAAAGAAAAGTTGAAAAGAAATAAACCAAAGACGAAACAACGTAAAATAAACAACAAAAGTAACATAAAAAAAAACAGGACAAAAGTGACAAAATCAAAGAAAAAGAATTCCTGGGAAGACGAAACGGAAGGAAATAAAAACTGGATTAAAAATAGCAGAAATAGGAAGGAAGGAAATAATAGGAAAAATAGAATAACAATCAAAGAGCGGAAGAAAAACACAAGCTATGATTGAAGGAAGAAACATTATAAATGTTCAAGCGAAACATGGACATAGAGACGAATTGAGGGACGTAAGAGAGATTAGCGGAAAAAAAGAGGAATATATTAAAAACGTGAAAGAGATAGATTAATGAGAAAATCTAAGATGGAGGAAGGGGAATTGTCAAAAATGAAAGGCATAATAACAGACATGAAGGAAATCAAGTCGAAAAGAAAGAAAAAAAAGAAAAGTAGAAAACAGACTGATAATAAAAGTAGAATGAAAAGAAAACTAAAAGGGTAAAAGAAAAATAAAAAGAAAGGGAGAAACGTACGGAAGATAAGAGCAGTAGATATGACTCAGGAAAGAAAGAAGAAATAAAAGAAATAGAATTAATAAAGAGACTATAGGAAAAATAAAAAAAAAGATGGAGGATGGAAAAAAGAGAAATGCAAGAAAGAAAGAAAGAAAGAAAGAAAGAAAGAAAGAAAGAATATGAATATCAGGAATAGAAGGCACATTAAGAAGTGCACGAACGGTAGGAAGGAATAAAACCTAATTCGCAGAGGAATTGAAGATAGAGTATTAAGTCGACATAGAAATACAGAAAAGAAAAAAAAGACGAATAAAAAAGGACAAGAGGAAAAGAACATTGGAATAGAGATTATGAAAAAAGACAAAATTAAGGAAAGAAAGATGGCAAGAAACAATATAGAAAGTTAGGAAGGAAATAAGGAAAATGGGTGAAGAAACAGCGCATATAAATAAAAAGGAGTAAATAAATTCATGAGAAAATGAAGGCGTGGCATTATGTTCGAACAATTGCTGAATGAAGAAAAATGCAGAGGAAAAAAGAATATGTATCGACACGGAAATTGGAATTAAGTTCCGGCTTGGTGTATTCAGTTCACTTTCACACTAATGTCCTTGGGAAAAGCATGCATCTATCTCTTCTCCACACCACTAGCTATGGTTCAAATAGCTGGGTAGTCTAGACTCATTAGCCTTGGGTAGTAACCAGACTAAGCTAAAGAAATCTGTGAATTTCAAATCGTGGAGAAAATAGTCGGAAAACACCCCACTATATTTCTTCATTAAGGCATAATAATTCCCAAATAATAATTGAAAGATATTTGATGAGAGTCATGGTGCCATATGCTCTGAAAAGACATGACATTAATAAAATGAAGACATGAATATTAAATTCTGTTTGTCACATAGGTAACATAATATTTTTTTACAGTAGGTTGTCTTATTTATCCTGGGCATAAAAAGTTCAGTTATGAACAAAGTTTAATATTCCTTGCATTGATTTACCGATATCTAACTCAATACACAAATCCTTCATTTTCACTTTTTTCTTTCCCCTGTTCATTTTTTCCAACTAATTCCTTTCTCGCCTTCTCTTTGCTTTTCTGTTTTTATCCCTCTTTCTAATTCTCTTCCATATTTCTTGTCTTTCATTTCATTGTACTTTAATTTTATTACCTTTTTCTCATTGTCTCTGAATTCGTTTCACCATGCAACGGATTGAGACTTTCATATGGATGTCATGCATGCTGCCAAAACAATTCAGAAATATCTAAACTGTCAGCTGTATACAACCGCTTCCTAAGATTCATGGTAAAAAATGGCTTTTTGGTTATTTTAACCAAAAGAGTACTGACTATTCGGGCGATGAATGGGAAAGTTTTCCTTACAGGGAAACGGCAAATATTACCATTAACATTACTATTAATAAACTTGAATATTCAGTTTTCTCCTGTAGTTAAAAAATACATGACCATTTTAAAAACGATAGCAGCAAATAAAAAAAATGCAATATACAAAGACCTGGTTGTGATGAACAATCGTAACTCAGTTATTCCTAAGCATCTTTTTTATAATTTAGGTTTATGGAAAGTAAAGAACGTAAAGACAACTTCACTTGAAGGTTACAGCAATAATAGATTTTATTTTTCACTTTTTTGTTTACGGTTTTTTTTATCAATACTAATAGAAACATTTATCAGAATTAATATTGATGTTTATTAATATTAATATAAATATTTATCAACATTAACATTTAATATTTAAAAGACATCTTGTAAGAATATTCTATGACGGCAATTACAGAAACTTATTCCAAATATATATACTCAAATACGTTGTTCCGTTGCTTAATGTATATTTGCAAATGGTCACCAACGAGGGTTATAATTGTAATTAATTATTATTGTTTTCAAACGAAAAACCTCTGACCGGATTCATACAAAATCTGGAACAAACATAACTGAAGTGATATTGTAGTGACAGAAAAATAAAACGTTCCCTATTTTTAAAAAAAAATAAAAAATAAAACTAAGTCTTGCCTTAAAGGAATAAAAGTAAAAAAGATAAGAGGCCATAAGGTTACCATTCTTAAATGTAGGTGAAGAAAAAAGGATAATCAAATGAGTCACATCTGTGAACTAATCAGAGATCAAGAAACAATTCTGGAATTAATTCCTTTGTCTCGAAAAAGTGTAAACACAGGCAGAGACGATCAGGCCAGGAAAACAGAGAGTCAATGAGGTTTTCATCCGTTTTACCATGTCCTAAATTGTCGGACATCTAAAAATCCTTCACAGAGTCGAAAGGATTACTACTATTAGTGGAGGAGATAACTGTAACAATCTTTCATTTCCGGAAACATACTCCTTGGCGAGTGCTCTTTTGATAAAATCTGTTAACAACCTAAAAATTTAAGATGACGTCCATTAAATATACAGAAATATTGCATTTCGCAATAAAATCGCAAATATTTGTCCTATTTTAATTATCTTGGCATCAAATAATACATTTTGTACTATGTAGAATCTGAATTTGGAACTATGTACCTACTTAAGAGCTTCTTTGTGACGTAATATCGGTTCCGGGATCAAAATTAGGGTAAAAAATTCCTATAACATTGCCACCATCAGCCCGATATATTATTGGATTTACATGTAGGCCGTAGGCCTATATTTATTTGCCATATATTGTCTTGGGAGAGTATGCTACAACATTTCTAAAGCTTGCATCTACACCTGCACAGGGCCGTGCAGGTTAGACCAAAGTAGCAGCATTTGCATCGACCACATTATTTTGACTTGCATCCACACTTGGTCAGCTGTTGGCAACTCTCTGCAATGGGTAGGAGAACTGTTCAAATGATCTGCCACAGATCTCTTTTCTTGGTTTAGCCCCAGTCGACATAAGTCTGCGTTAATGGTTGAATTACTTCAGATGCAGCCCACCTGGTAGGCAGCACGCTTCACATGATGCTTTAGTGCTGCTCGGGTTGAAGGAATGGCTTCGTGTCCGCAGTTTTTCAAGAATGGTAGTGAGATGGGATTTCTGACAGATGTGGAAATTTCCACCATCACTGAGGGCAGTAGGATGTGACTGGTTCTCATGTCGGAAGAACTCCTTCTAGTCACAGTCTCTGCTCTGACATGATATGAACATCTTAGAGAACAGTTGCCAGTCTGTAGACAGCACTTTTTGCTTTGAAGAGCCAACAGACGCTGTCGGAAAAAGTCAACCCATTTCTTGATTGGTTCATAAAAGCTGGATTTATCTTCTTCATCAAGTCCCTTCAAACCTTATAGAAACGGACTTCGAAGCTAGACACGTCTTCGGGTTGTTCATCTGTCTCTTCCGATTAGTTCGCGTGGCCTGCCTTCAGAAGCTTGTATAGACTGCATGCTGTTATCTGGTGCATCTGTCGTGTCTTAATGTTGCTCGAAGCTGTCAGAAACGAATCTGCTGTCCTAGAAGATGCTATCCCTGCATCCACGAGGCCTCTTGTCCAAGCACTTCATTATAATAGTCAGATGATTTTGACCAGACAAGGCCCACATCTTCCTGGAAAACCAGAAGAACATCCCTTTCCTGATTGTGAGCTTCTGACAGCATTTTTTAAGGCTTAGGAATTTGACAGGCGTTGGGCATATAAGTGAACTATGTCTGCAAGTCGGATGACTCCAGGACCCTCATCAGATCGGGTGGTCAAAAATAGATATGTGACTAGCTCTGAGAATGCCAGTGAGTGAGTATACTCTTTGGATGCACGTTACTGTTCCAGTCTCTTGGTGACTCTGAGGTACGTCCTCTCTTTATTGCTCAGACCTATCAGGTAAGGAAAATGGTATTTGAGGTCCTGTGCAATAGCATCTCCACTGCTGAGTCTTACAAGAAGTTTTCCATTATTTAAAGTTTAGGCACATTCCTGAAACCTGTTATTGAGGTTCATTGACCTAAGTTGTCTGAGTTCAGAGGATGGGGCTTCTTTGTCACATATAAAACACGTTTTGTCTTCAAGGATGGTTCTATGCAGCTTTTTGGTCTGGCATTCAACCGGCCGAGAACACTCTACTCCTCTTTTTCTGGCTCTCTCTCCAGTTTTGTGTTGCTGAAAATAAGGCGACAACTTTGGTGTACTGTGCCTTATTCCTCTTCAGAATTTTTTTCCAATTCCACCACCATCATCAAGTCTGGTTAGATCCAGAACAATAGGCATCTCATTAATTGCGTGAAAGAGGGGAATATTAGTCGTAATCATAGTGGAGCCATCATGTTCTTCTTGTTTTTATGCACGTGAGGACTTGACCTCATCACCCTTCTTCTGGCAAAAGCAACACTTTCTCCAGTCAGTCCAGAATTTAGATGGTCCTGGGTCTGTATTTTGTCAACTTGGTAAATGATATTCATGATAATTATCTGTATTCAGTGAATCAAAGCCGAGGGGTTATCCTTTTATCACCTTGATCGCAATCACGCACAGTAAGGTATGGTATATGACTAGGTTCGGGAATAACAATATATGACCTATACCTAGTCCGATTGTTCATTCAGTATCATTTTTTAAGTCCCGTGCGATCTGTACACACATTTCATACAAAGCAATGTAAAGCCCTGTTACCTTTGACTCGGCTTTTTCGCGCTGGCACACCCTGTCAATTCAGGTACATGTAATCTACAGTAGATGTGGGGCATATATCCCACATTAAATTCGGCCTTGTGCCACATCTGATCGCGTGGGGCGATTGTTAGATATCCTAGAGTTGAGGATTCGTCTCAAGCTGTGCTGGTCAAACTCTCTGCCACCGGGCAGAGAGGATCCCCGACGAGGCTATGTCGAAGGGCAGAGTCTCGTCTCAGGAAACAGCTGCGCGACCCCGTTTTATACGGCGTATACGGGGAATTTTTGTCCGGATACCCCACATTAAATTCAGCCTTGTGCCACATCTGACCGCGTTGGGTGGTTAGTAGATATTTTAGAGTTGGAAACCCGTCTCCAGTTGTGCTGATCAAACTCCTCAGACGAAGCTATGTCGAAAGACAGAGTCTCGTCTCAGGAAAACCTACTCGACCCCGTTTTATACAGCTCGGATACCCCACATTAAATTCGGTCTTGTGCCATATCTGACCGCGTGTGGCAGTTGTTAGATATCCTAGAGTTGGAGATTCATTGTGGAATACACTTGACTCACTTCTAGCAGTTAGCTTTGTTTTCTACGCGCCGCTGGCAAATCTTATATGTGTTGTTCTTGTCCTAAGTATTATCGTTCATTACCAACCTTCGATTGATTATTTTATTTAGTAACCTTCCCTAGGTTACAACAGTACACTAAATAATTATTCAGCTGAT